CGCCATTGAAAAAGACAGGCGGCAACGAGACAGAGTTGCCGTCGAGAATGGAGGCAAGGAGCGACGGGGAGACCATGGCTGAGAAATCGATGAAAGCCTCAACTTTTGAGGCGCCTCAAGAATCAGCTCACCAGTGCCCACACGCAGGTCGCCATTGAAAAAGACGGGCGGCAGCGACACAGAGTTGCCATCGAGAATGGAGGAGAGGAGCGACGGGGAGACCATGGCAGAGAAGTCGATGAAGGCCTCGAGATTGGCGACGTTGGCGTATCCGGGGAGAAAGTTGACGATGTAGTGCGGCTTGCGAGGGGACGGCAGCCCGAGAGGTGACTTGATTACCATGCCTGTTACGCGCTCCACCAATGCCCTGGGGGAGAAAGAGCAATAGGCGGATGAGAAAGCAACTGGAGGTAGAAAGAGAGATAGGGGAACACACACACACACACACACACACATACACACACACACACACACACACACACACACGCACACACACACGCACACACACACACTCACTCATGCCCACCTGTCAGCATCCTCACTTGCTAGGGTGAGGCTCTCCAGACCATGCTGACAGTAGGACGGTCAGGCTCTCTCTCTAGGTCCAGGCTGATGTAGCGCAGTGCACGCACACCCACGCCCACACGCACGCCCACACGCACGCCCACACCCACGCCCACACCCACACGCACACCCTCACCCACGCCCACACCCTCAAACACGCCCACACATACACACATGCATGCACTCGCGCACACACACACTCACGCCCACCTTTCGCTATCCTGCACGAGCATGAGCAATGTCCCTAGCGTGAGGTAATCCAATCCCATGCTGACGGTTTTATCCTTGTAGCGGACCAAGCTGTCATTGTTTGCACAGCCCGCCACACCCCAGTAGGTCAGGTTGGTGCTGCTGCGCGGGCCGTACCCGTTGAACACACGCAACAGCGCCGCCATCTCCTGCTCACACACGCACACACACACGCGCAGCAGCACACACACACACAACGAGTTCAGCAAGGCATGTGCACGTCCTGCTGCTGCGCGGACCGTACCCGTTAAATATGCGCAACAGCGCCGCCATTTCCTGCTCACGCACGCACACACACACACGCGCAGCACACACACACGCGCAGCACACACACAACGAGTTGAGCAAGTCAGGTGCACACCCCGCCACGCCCCAGTAGATCAGGTTGGTGCTGCTGCGCAGCACACAGCACGCATTCGATGAGAACACGCAGCAGCGCTGACATCTCCTGCTCACGCACTCCCGCACACACACAGCAAGTATGGATGGCTTATGAGAGGTTGGTGCTGCTGCACGGACCGTACCCGTTAAATACACGCAGCAGCGCCGACATCTCCTGCGCGCACACAATACACACACATGAGTGAGCGTGGCCGGTGCACAAAGCACTCCGCCACGCCCCAGTGGGTCAGGTTGGCGCTGCTGCGCGGGCCATACCCGTTGAACACACGCAGTATTGCTGACATCTCCTGCTGCTCACGCAGACACATACACACACACTCGTCGAGTTCAGCAAGGCTGGTTTGCACCATGCTCCAGTAGGTCAGGTTGGTGCTGCGCTGACATCTCCTGCTCGCGCACGCACACACACACGCGCAGCACACACACAACAAGTTCAGCAAGTCAGGTGCACACCCCGCCACGCTCCAGTAGGTCAGGTTGGTGCTGCGCTGACATCTCCTGCTCGCGCCACTCCTCTGGGTTCCGCACCCCGGGGAAGAAGGGGTGGGGGGGGGGGGGGGGGGGGGGGGGGGGGGGCATATGAAATCCGCGTGCACTGAGGTGATTTCGAGGCGCCTCAAGAATCACGTCGAAGCGCGCGGATTTCAGTTGAGCAAGGCCGTCTCCCCTCCGCGCAGCCCCTCTGGGTTCCGCACCCCGGGGCGGGGGCCGCCATGCCATCAGCGCGCGGGGCGGTGGGAGCGCGCCGCTGCGCGACGGAGAGAGCTCCGAGGTGGAAATTCTAAGTCGACTCAAAAGTCTCCGCTGCGCGCACGCGCCGCCGCGTGACGGAAAGAGCTTCGAGGTGGAAATTCTAAGTCGACTCAAAAATCGCGTCGCCGCTGCGCGACGGGAAGAGCTCCAGGACGCCAGACGGAATGTCGTTGACAGCGTGCGCGGAAATTATCCGTGTCCCCGTGTCCCCCGTGTCAAGCGCGCGGAAATTACCCGTGTCCCCGTGTCCCCGTGTCCCCCGTGTCCCCCGTGTCGCCCGTGTCCCCCGTGTCAAGCGCGCGGTAATTATCCGTGTCCCCGTGTCCCCCGTGTCAAGCACGCGGATAATTCCTGAGAATTAAGGCCACGCGAACATATAATTTCCATACCGGACCTCCCGAGCTCGCCAGAGCACCTCACGTTCGGATAATTTCGGAAATTCAAGGCCTACCTGCCACGAGACCGATCTCGCCTGTCTCTTGCTGTCAATCTGTGCGACGTCTCTCCGTCACGCGCCGCTCTGTGGGCTGTCGTTACGCGTCGCTAAACGCCGTGAGCCGCTAAATTGCGTCCCTATCCGTTAATATGGTTCGCTACGCGTCGCTATCCGTCGCTATGTGTCGCTATGCGTCGCTATCGCAACGCGTCGCACCTGAACGCGCGAGACGAACGAGAGCAGGCGCTGGTAGAGGTAGAGAACGCGCAAGTGGCACCATCCGCGCATCGCCTCCTCCCGTGGATTGGCGGCCTGCGTGTGCGCGAACCACACCACCCACGCGCACAGCCCCACCCATCCCGCCACCCACACCGCTACCAGCAGCGCCCTCCCCACGCCCCACGGCGGGCCCCGAGACGAGAGGCGCCACGACCGGCGCATTATATGTCTGTAGCTTGGATTCAAGAAGAAGAGCGAACAGCGAAAGTGAATAGACCGAGTTTGGGGAGAGCATAGGCGAGCAACTAGCGGTGTCAGTTATGTAAGACTATGTGTAAAAGGTTAGGGTTGAGATTGGTAAATCACGGTTCAAGGTGGTGAAGCAAAGACACCATCACAGAATGCACGGCACCTTGCCAACCGATTATGATGGCGTTCCTAGGGGATGGGATGGGAACCCAACAAAAGTGCAAAAACTGCATCACTTCATCTTGTCCAGCATGGCATATATTTTACAGACCACAGCTTAGGGCGACGTCAGGTTGTACAACTTTTTGTACGCCCACTGCGGTTATCTTTGTTTTGACACGGTGCAGAGCGGTAAACGTCGAGAAACGCTTATCACCGTGTTGGACCGTCCTGAACCACCATACAAGAACTGTAAACCCGCGAGAAACGTATAACCTGACCTCGCCCTTACCCATGTGCCGTACGACTCTACAGGTCCAGGTCGACGATACTTTCGCAACCAATCGCGTTCATCCTGCACCAAATTTGTGGTTTGGGTTGATCGTACGCTGTCAGCTCAGATTTTCAAGCGACCTTCACATTTATCCTTGCCAAAAAGATGCGGGTGCGGCTGTTTGGGAAATAATCATGGGTTGGATTCGGTTTGCATGGGTTCTCTTGGGCTAAATTGGGTTGTGTTTGGGAACAACTTGCTAGGGAGGTAGGGAGTGAGTGGAGGGCAGGCAGACAAGGGTGCTTGGTCGCCTTGGATTGGGCGATTGGCCAGTGGGCCACGCGCACCGCACAGTACGGGTTGAATTGAATGTTGAAATTTTTTGCGCATGGGCCAGCAGCGAAATTGTCGAGGTCTGGCTGGCCCATGCGCCAAAACTCAAGGTACAGTACGGTATCTGAACGACGTGGGACGTGCGGACCGCAATGCCACCACGGATCTTCCGATTTTCCCGAACCGATATGCTCGTGTGGGCGCCCCTTTGTCGGTTCGGTACAGGCGGGCCCCTAGCACCGCTAAAAGATTCAAAAAACTATTGTGATTTAACAGCCTGCATATGTGACATATTATGGCACACAACATCTTTAGTCTCCACCAATATACTATCACATAGCAATTTTGGCATTAGCTATCTTACAGGTAGGCTTTCATGTCACTATTGTCCACATACACCCGCGCAGGGATTCATACAACCTTCATTTTCTGTATTATATCGTAAGTCCAGCTAAGGGTACATTCCGCTCTGGACACAAATGTCTCAATCGCGTAATAGAACCGCTGTACCAGTCTGCACCGCATTACACTTGAGTGTCGAACATTTCCACCGCACTGCATCTCTTCGTTTGAGACGCGAGGCCTTTGTGACGCGCGTCAGGAACGTACCCTAAAATGTTTTGTTTGTTCAGACAAGAAGCAGAAATGACTGATCTTCCAGCCTGGTTTTCGCTGGCAACTTTGTTAGATCAGTAAGACCATAGAAACCAGGGAAGTATGATGAATCGGGTCAGTTCAAAATCAATCAAAAGGGTTGCTCTGAACCTTGCGGTTGTCAGCACTGTAGCAAGCTTCTGTGCAACACTAAACTTCCTAAGTGCCGCATCCCTCTCTGCCTCCAAGTTCGCTCCCACGTCCAAGTCAGCAGTCATTATACAATGGCATGGCACTCATGTGTTGTAGCTGAGTGAGACCATGCCTGCTCTGAAACTTGCGGTTGTCAGCACTATAACAAGCTCCTGTGCCACACTCAGCTTCCTCTGTGCCGCATCCCTCTCTGCCTCCAAGCACGCTCCCACGTCCAAGTCAGCAGTCATTATACAATGGCACTCATGTGTTGTAGCTGAGTTAGACCATGCCTGCTCTGAAACTTGCGGTTGTCAGCACTGTAACAAGTTCCTGTGCCACAATCAGCTACTTTACTGCGCCAATTTCCCCTGCCTCCAAGCAAGCTTGCTCGACTCCCACACCCTAGTCAGCATCACTTCTGCTATACAAAGTCACCCGTATGGTGGCGACGTTGAGTAAAAAATCAGAACGCGCCAGCTCCAAACCCTGCTGCTATGAGTGATAAGAGCAGTTCCTGGGCCATGATCAGTTTCCTCACTGCTCCAGCTTGCTCACCTTCCCCCTCTGCATCCACCTCACGAAGCGTCTGCTCTGAACCCTGCTGCTATAAGTGCTGCAAGGAGTTGCTGTGCCACAGTCGGTTTCCCTACTGCCGGCCCCCAAGCACGCTCGCTTCCTTGTATCCAAAGTCACCTGTCAGTGCCATGATAGAAAAGCACTCGTGCGGTGACGACCGAGTCAAATTAGAATGCGCCAGCCCCAAAACCTGCTGTTATGAGCGCTGAAAAAAGTTCCTGTGCCACAGTGGGTTTCCTCACTGCCCCATCCATGCGGTGACAACTGAGTCAAATCAGAATCAGCACGTGCCGGCTCCGAACCCTGCTCCTATGAGTGCCCCAAGCAGTTCCTGTGCAACGATGGGTTTCCTCACTGCCCCATCCATGCGGCGACAACTGAGTCGAATCAGAATCAGCACGTGCCGGCTCCGAACCCTGCTCCTATGAGTGCCCCAAGCAGTTCCTGTGCAACGATGGGTTTCCTCACTGCCCCATCCATGAGGCGACAACTGAGTCGAATCAGAATCAGCATGTGCCGGCTCCGAACCCTGCTCCTATGAGTGCCCCAAGCAGTTCCTGTGCAACGATGGGTTTCCTCACTGCCCCATCCATGAGGCGACAACTGAGTCGAATCAGAATCAGCATGTGCCGGCTCCGAACCCTGCTCCTATGAGTGCCCCAAGCAGTTCCTGTGCAACGATGGGTTTCCTCACTGCCCCATCCATGAGGCGACAACTGAGTCGAATCAGAATCAGCATGTGCCGGCTCCGAACCCTGCTCCTATGAGTGCCCCAAGCAGTTCCTGTGCAACGATGGGTTTCCTCACTGCCCCATCCATGAGGCGACAACTGAGTCGAATCAGAATCAGCATGTGCCGGCTCCGAACCCTGCTCCTATGAGTGCCCCAAGCAGTTCCTGTGCAACGATGGGTTTCCTCACTGCCCCATCCATGCCTGCTTCCATGCATGCTCGCTTCACTGCCGCATCCAGGTCAGCTGTCAGCGCTATGATGCAAAGGCGCTCTTGCGTGGTTCCATCAGCTGCACTTGCTTCCGTGGTTGCATCAACCGCACGTCTCTGCTGCTGCTGCTGCTGCTGGTGTTGGTGCTGCTGCTGCATCGTCAGCAGTATTGTCTCCCTCTGGCATCTGCTGTGTTGTGTTGCTGCTGCTGCGCTTTGATTTCTCCAACGCTCGGATCCGACGAGCTGTTTCAAATCTGTTGGAATTTTGGGAGGCAATGTGTGGAAAGAAACGGATGGGAACAAGGCAGGACGAGGGGTTGGAGGCAGCATGAGGAGCCCAAGCAGCAGCAGTAGCAGCTGCAGAAGCAGCAGCAGCAGCAGCTTCGAGCACCTGCTGAAAACAAAGGCCTCTGGTAACAGCAACAGTGCCATGCTCACAGCGAAAAAACTCCAACTCACCCATCGATGCCAGGTGGCATGTGGAGGTCAAGCAACAACAAGTGGACGGGCGGGGAGGAGGTCGGGGCAGAGGAGAGCGCCTGCAGCGCATCCTCCCCGGAGGGCAGCAGCAGGTGGATGGGCGCAGAGGGCGAGGCAGAGGAAAGTGCCTGGATCGCCTCCTCCCCGGAGGGCAGCAGCAGCACGTGCGCCCCATGCGGTTCACCGCGTTGTCCTGCAGCACCACCGCCCCAGCAGCACCGTAGCCCTGCAGTGTTCTCCTTGCCACCATGCGGTTCACCGCGTTGTCATCCACCACCGCCACCCCCCGCCCCGCCAGTGCTGCTCGCAGCAGCCCCTCCGCCTCCTCTACTCCCTCCCACTGATCCCACCCTGCTGCTGCACCCTCCGTGTACGCGCGCAGCCTGGGGAGAGATTGTGCCCGTGTCGTTCGTCTCCCTGATACCGCCACTGCTCGAAACTGTCCCCCTTCCGCGTCTCCCATGCCGTCCGTGTGGGAGTGGGGTTTGGGGAGCGAGTGCGACCGTGCTGCCCGGCGCCCCGCCTTTCCCACCGCTGCCACTAACTTTTCCCCCTCCTCCTCCACCGTCGCCGCCACCACCACCACTGCTGGCAACACCCTCTCGGCCGCCGCCACTGCTGGCTCCGCCTTCCCTGCACCCTCCAACTCTTCGATTGTGCCGGCCCGCGGCTTGAGGTGAGAGTGGGCTCGTGCTGACCGCTGCTGTCCCTCCTGCAATATTGCCCGCACCTGCCCAGATGCATGCTGCTGCTGGTGCGGGGCTGCTTGTTCCTGCACCTCTGGTATTGCAACACTCGCAAATTCCACACATCCCTCTTTACTCCCCGCCCCGCACCCATCCATTTCCCCACGACTCTCCTCATCCCACTCCCCATCCCCAAGGGAAGCGCCAGCAGAATGGTGGTGCCTGTGGCGGCGTGTGACAGCACTGCCATGTCTCCGCGCATCTCAGCCACCTGCGAGACACAAGCAGCACAGCACATCACGATTTTAACAAGCTCGGTGCTTGTGGCCAAGCTAGGGAGAATGGAATTCGCCTTGCAAGCAGCACAAGGCGATGTGGAGCACAATTCAGTGCCGCAGTGCTACAGGTGCAGTCAGGGGGGTAGTGGGTCTGCTATCCACCTCACAAGTATGCCCTTATAACCCAGTTGGTAGCTTGCTGAGCCGGCAAATGGAATCGAAGTCAAAGGTCGCGGGTTCGAATCTCGGTGTGCACCAAGTGAGTGACAGAGTGCCCTTATTATCCCTTAGGGCGCGTAACTTTTTCACTTTTCATCGTCCGGACGGAGGACCCGTACGGACTTTTGTAGGGTTACGTATTTCGCCTAGCTTCGTTATTGAGTTCGTGAGACCCCTTGCGACATCGCGATCGTCCGTACGAGTTCTGACACTTTTCTGCTTGTTCATCGTCCGTTCTACACTCCTGACGTCGTCCGGACAGCATTTCGGACCGTCCGGAACTCCTGCAACGTCATTGGTGCGCGAAGCACATTTTTTATCAGTTCTGGCGACTCGGTTTCCTGCTCGCCAGAACCACGTTTTGACGGAAAGGCAACACAGAAGTTCCACTATCGTCCGAACGGGCACACAGACTCACAGCACTACAAAAAAACGAACTCTCTACAGTCCGGATTTTTTCTGACACAACTTCATGCATGCGAAGCGGCCGATTTGCTGACGAGGTGGATTATAAGCGTTACTGTTTCGCTCAAAATCCAGTTTTCGCAACTGCAAAAAAGTGTCATAATAGGGGTACGGACTCATCGTCGTCCGTACCATATCCCCAACCGTCCGGACGGAGCTCCGTTCGGACGATTTGGGGCCCCCGTCCGGACATTTGCCCGAAACGGAAAAAGTTACGCGCCCTTAGTGAGGAGAAGATTGTTGTTAGGGCACTGGGAGAATTATTCACACGAGTGCAAGAGGGCTGTGTGGTTCGGGGGGGTTTGTGGGTGTATGACTACCACACAAACATGTCATTTTAGCTCAGTCGATACTAGGCTAGGCCAACTCAAGGTCGTCGCCTCACAAGATCTTGATGTATGTGGCCAAGCCGGGGGAGGAGGATACTCACAAGCGCGCATGAATCCGGGCAGAAAGGCAAACTCGCTCGAAGACCTACTGTTCGAGAAAGGGGGCACTGCGTCTGAATTTCCGGAGATGACGCTGATATCTACAGTGCTCCGACAAATATGGTTGGCCCGCTGTGATGCTGCGTGGCAGACCGTTCCGTTTGAAAGGAAGAAGGTGGGCCATGTTGCGGTGTTGTGACTCACATGTGCGAGTCGTGCTGGCTGCGAGAGTAAGAGAAGCGACGAAACGAGGGGTGGAAGGGAGTGGTGTGTATGACGCATATAGCCAGGTGGCAGAAGACGAGAGGAGGTCAGCTTGGAGGATGGCCCCACCAAGTGGACAGATGCTTTCATGTCCATCTGGCGGAACCCGCGGACAATCTACCAGCCGCCGTAGATGGTAGAGGGGGGACGGACCTCAGCCCCGATATGCTAGGCCTCAGCCTCCCAAGCCTACAGTTACGACTGCGGATCTTTGTATGTTTTCATTAATATACTTATATCCACCAGAAAAAAAAAAACAAAACAAAACAAAACAAAAAAACTCACAAGCGCGGTGGAGAGCAGGAAGCGGACGGGGTAGGGCGGTTATCGGGGGCGAGCAGCGAGCCTCTCAACTTGCGACGATTGTCCAAAGATCGTGCGTGCTTCACCCCCGAAGTGCTAGAACGCAGGAGAGGTGTGGCGTTTTACTCACAACCGCGGTGGAGAGCAGGAAGCGGACGGGGTAGGGCGTCCAGCGGGGGCGAGCGGCCGATCTCTGGTCGTGCGTGCGAGCGGCAGTTGCTGCTGCCCTGCTGCCCCGGTGACTGAAGAGGTGGGGGAAGAAAGACTCCTGGTGGAGGGTGGAGGTTGGAGGGCAAGATAGGTGGAGAGGAGGGAAGGCACAGATGGCCAGTGTCATCTGTGTGCTTAATTCCACCAGTGAAATTCCATCTGTGTGGCAGAGAAGGAAGTCAGCACACTGGTGGTCGTTCCTGAGTGTGGCTACGTATGGTGGCCTGCTGAAGTTGATCCAGCACCCTCTGCATGTCCTCGGGTGGTGCTATCAACCTACCCACTTACTTTGATGCCTTGGCCGTCCTCCTCGTCACCTTCCCCATCAGCGGGAGCAACAGCATCATCAGCAGCATGAGAAGGCGCGTGGTGGGAGTCTCCATGCGGATCCAGCACCCACCGCAGCTCCTCGGGTGGAATACCACCGCCCGAGTCTTCACACGCCATCACCACCATCCACTCGCCCTCCTCCCTCGCTTCACACGCCCCCTCCACCCACTCCCTCACCTCCTCCTCCAACCGCCCATGCCCACTCCCACCCTCTGCCTCCTCCCCCTCCTCCCCCACACTTGCTCCATTTGAACCCCCCATGCCTGAAGCTCCCATGACTGAAGCACCTAGGCGCTGCAGGGAGCGCGTGAAGCGGGCGAGGGACGCCTTTTGAGGCGCCTCAGAGGTTCCCTCTGCTTGGCCTGCATCTTTGGTGGTGGCCACAAGGTGCTGACGTAGACGATTTTTGAGGCGCCTAAAAATTTGAGGCGCCTCAGAAGCTCCCTCCGCCTGGCCTGCGCCTTTGGTGGTGGCCACAAGGTGCTGGCGGAACCGCGCGAGATGGGTGGCAGGGGGGAAGCGGCGCACACAAGCAGACAGCTGATGCCACGCGGGGGAGCCCGAGGGGAGGTGGTTAGAGGCGCGGGAGGAGGCGTGGGAGTGAGGGGCGCGGCATGGTGGGTCACGAGAAGGGGCAGGGGCAGCAGCAGGGGCGGAGGCGCAGGGGAGGTTGAAGCAGCTGGCTGAGACGTGGGGGGAAGGTGGGGGAGGGATGAAGCACACGTGGAAGGTCACTCGACCACCAGCAGCGTTGCCTACGGCGTGGGCTGCAGGGGAGAGGGAGTTCAATTCAAGGGACAAGCAAAACACAACAAGTAACGAGTCGACTCAAAAAGAGGTGGGGGAGGGACGCAGCAGACTTGGAAGGCCACCAGCAGCGTTGCTCATAGCGTGGGCTGCAGGGGAGAGGGGGGGGGCACGGGAAGGGGCAACAGGGGCAGATGCGCAGGGCAGGTTGAAGCAGCTGGCTGAGGCGTGGGGGGAAGGCGGGGGAGGGATGCAGCAGACTTGGAAGGTCACGCAGCCGCCAGCAGCGTTGCTCACGGCGTGGGCTGCAGTGGGGAGGAGGTTCAGTTCAAGGGGCAAGCAAAACACAACAAGTAACGAGTCGACTCAAAAAGACGCAGGGAGGCGATGCAGCAAACGTGGAAGGCCACTGGGCCACCAGCAGCGTTGCTCACGGCGTGGGCTGCAGGGGAGAGGGGGTTTAAGGGGAGAACCGGACAGACACGATATTTGAATCGACTAAAAAAAGGCAGGGGAGGCATGCAGCACACGTGGAAGGCCACTGGGCCACCAGCAGCGTTGCTCACGGCGTGGGCTGCAGGGAAGAGGGGGGCCAAGGGAACAGGTGTTGAAAAATGGTTGTCATAAAGAGATGACATATAGAGATGTGATAAGATAGATCATAGACATGAGTAGTTGGACGAAGTGATGGCTTGGCTTGTCGGCTCGACTCGTCGACTAACTACTCATGTCAGCGTGGCTAGTCGACCAACTACTCATGTCAGCTTGGCGAGTCGACCAACTACTCATGTCAGCTTGGCTAGTCGACCAATTACTCATGTCAGCTTGGCTAGTCGACTAACTACTCATGTCAGCTTGGCTAGTCGACCAACTATTCATGTCAGCTTGGCTAGTCGACCAACTACTCATGTCAGCTTGGCTAGTCGACCAACTACTCATGTCAGCTTGTCTAGTCGACTAACTACTCATATCAGCTTGGCTAGTCGACCAACTACTCAAGTCAGCTTGGCTAGTCGACCAACTACTCATGTCAGCTTGGCTAGTCGACCAACTACTCATGTCAGCTTGGCTAGTCGACCAATTACTCATGTCAGCTTGGCTAGTCGACCAACTACTCATGTCAGCTTGGCTAGTCGACCAACCACTCATGTCAGCTTGGCTAGTCGACCAACTACTCATGTCAGCTTGGCTAGTCGACCAATCACTCATGTCAGCTTGGCTAGTCGACCAGCTACTCATGTCAGCTTGGCTAGTCGACCAACTACTCATGTCAGCTTGGCTAGTCGACCAACTACTCATGTCTGCTTGGCTAGTCGACCAACTACTCATGTCAGCTTGGCTAGTCGACCAACTACTCATGTCAGCTTGGCTAGTCGACCAACTACTCATGTCGGCTTGGCTAGTAGTCGTGATAGCCAGTTACTTGACATGACGGCTTAGCTCGTTGGCTCGACTCGTAAAAAGCCCAACTCCCGAGCCTGGCTAGGTGGTGAGTGGTGCCAAGCATTTCTGTCAGTTCAATAATATACATTTATTTAATTATATATAGCAAGATAATATAGATGTATCAAGAAAACTATATTGGGAAAAAAAAAAAAAAAAAAAAAAAAAAAACGAGGATTAGCAGGTACGCACCTGTGAGCTCTTCAATGACTTGCGCCAAGCGAGTCGGGTCCCCCATGAGCACATCCGGCACACTCTCGTCCACGTGGCATGTCACTGCAGCACCCAGCATACGCAGCACAGCATTCACAGCACAGCCACAACAGCAGGACACATCAATTAGAGTGCAGCCGAATAAGGAAAGCAACAACGGCGAGCGAGGCCCAACACTCGTTCGTACCTTGCAGGTTCTTTCCCGGTGTGATCGGTCCATCTTCTGCTGAAGTGGCTAAAGCGGCTGAAGTTGCAGCTTGAACAATGCGGCGCAGGCAGCACGGGAGAGTCTCGAGCTGCAGCCGGCCGGCCTGCAGCTTGGCGAGGTCCAACACTCGGTTGATGAGGTCTACCGTCTCGCCCGCACACGCCCTCGCGTCTATCAGGTCTGCCTTCTGCCACTCCTCCAAGCGCGACTCCAGCAGCTCATCTATCATGCCTGTGCGGGAGGGAAAGGAGGGGGAGGGAAGGGATGGGCCCGCACACGCCCGCGCATCGATCAGGTCTGCCTTCTGCCACTCCTCCAACAGCGACTCCAGCAGCTCGTCTATCATGCCTGTGCGGGAGGAGAAGCGGAGAACGAGGGGGGAGGGGGGTGGGAAGTGGAGTGGTAGGTCCTCACGCTGCCACTCCTCCAACCGCGATTCCAGCAACTCGTCTATCATGCCTGCATGGAATACGAGGGGAAGTGGTGAGGGGGGGGGGGGGGTGGGGGGGGAGGGAGGGGAGAGGGGGGATTGCAGCTTGGTAACAGACGGTTATCAAGGTCCTCCAACCGCGATTCTAACAGCTCACCTATCATGCCTGTGCGGGAGGAGAAGGGGGGAAAGAGGGGAAAGCTGTTATCGCATCACCGTTACCATTAACCCATCACCATTACCATATCCCCAACGCCATTACCATTATCTCATCACCATTCCATTACCATTATACCATAATTATTTATTACCTTATCACCAATACCATCACCATCATCAATATCATTACCGCATCACCATTACCATTACCATTACCATTACCATTATCATTTCCGCATCGATATTACCATTACCATTGTAATTATCATTACCATTACCATTACCATCACCATCAACACCACCATCACCATCACAACATTATCATTACCATTACTATTCCCCCATCACCATTACCATTACCATTACCATTACCAATACCCATCACAAGTACCATTAACGCATCACAAATACCATTACCATTACCACATCACCATTACCATTACCACATCACGATCACCATTACCATTATCGCATCACCATTACCATTACCGTTACCATTACCCCATCACCATTACCATTACCGGATCACCACTACCATTATCACGTTAATGAGTGCCTCAATGTTTACACGCCACGTGTCCTCCCTCACACTATACATGCCCTTTTCTACACAACACTTGTCCTTTCCGTTGCTCTTCCGTGGCCCCCTCACCTATGACGCCAATGAGTGGCGTGCGCAGCTCATGAGACGTGTTGGCCACGGTCTCACTCTTGGGCTTCTTAGCTCCCTCTAGCGCCTCTGGAGATGCCTTGAACCCCACACATACATATCCACCCCCCCTCTCTCACCTATCACGCCGATGAGTGGCGTGCGCAGCTCATGAGACGTGTTGGCCACGGTCTCACTCTTGGACTTCTCGGCTCTCTCCAGCGCCGCCGTACACAGCTGCATCTCTCTCAACCCCTCCGCCATCTGCCTCCGCTTCCATGCCAGCACCACAATCACGAGGGAAATCAACACAGCCACTAGTAGCACCAACAGGCCAAGCAGCATGGGGGCGTACACGAGGTCCCACTTGGGGTAGGGGCCATCAAACCTGCACATAGTGGCACCCATGTGAAAGAGACAGAGATAACGGGAAGGAGTGAGGGTTCATGCAAATGAGTTGCATCTGGCATACCGGGTATCTTTTTACCTGGCCGGGTAAACACTACTTGACCCGCCCAAGTTACCCGACCCGACCGGGTCTTTTGCCCACTAGGTTAGCACGAGAGCGAAAACACAAGGATAGGTTGGCAAGGCCACCCCGACTTCCCACTTGCTTTGCAAAGTGTCTTCCTTGCCACACCTGTAGAGCCCCCTTGCCTCACATGCACTACCCCCTTCCCTCACCTGCAGTGCGCCTCACCTGCAGTGCGCCTCACCTGCAGTGCGCCTCGTATCTGCGACCCAGCAGGTCCTTAGGAAACGGTTCAACGTGCTTGGAACCCGGCACCACAGGACCCGGCAGCACATAAGGGTAGAGCGACCCGCTCTCCATCTTCAATGGATCTGGGCCGAGCGGCTGCCCTGGGTCGGTGGTGTCATACATGGCTATGGAGTAGGCGCTGGTGCTGCTGCCTGCATGCAAGCAAATGCACATGCATGGCAAGGGGCACACAGGTTTTGAGGAATCGAAACAATGGGATCTGGGCTGAGCGACAGTGTTGTTGAGAAACGAACACAGCGTTCGGGAAGGAAAGAGAGGGGGTTACTTACCCATATTGTTGATTTTAAAGAGTAAATGCGTTACTTATCCATATTGTTGGTACTAAGTGTAAGTACGTTACATACCCATATAATTGGTACTACATGTAAGTACGTTATTTAACCATATGGTTGGTTCTACGAGTAATTTGTTTCTTATCCATATCGTTGGTTTCTGGAGAAAATGAGTTACATACCTTTACTGTTAGTTCTAAGAGTACGTGCGTTACTACCCTTATGGTTTGGGTAAGTGTAACAGTAAGTGCATCATACTTGATACTAAGAGTAAGTGCGTTACTTACTCATATGGTTGGTACTAAGACAATATGTGTTACTGACCCATAGTTTGTTCTAGGAATAAGTGTGTTACTTACCCATGTTGTTGCCCAGACAGCTGAGGTCTGTATGTCTCACTTTTCAAACATGATGGCCGTTACGGGTAGGATGGCATGGAAATTAAGGGCCAACCGTTATGAAGCAGGTCGAAGACGGCTGGAAACTTGTTCTCCAGATAGTTGAACTGCCCACGCGGTAGGGCTCACGCTCTCCCTCGATCTAGATAACTGAGGCCAGTATCACTAGCATGAAGCAGAGTGAGCGCCGTTGTGAGTACGAACCGTTACTTAGAAGGCTAAGGATGTCTTGTAGCTCGTTGTCCAGATAACTGAGGTCGGCTCACGTGATGGGGATGAGACTGATCAAGAAAGTTGGGTTTTGTTTGTGCAAACCGTTATGGGGAAGTGAGTGCAAACCGTTAGATAGAAGGCTGAGGACGGCTTGTAGCTCGTTGCCCAGATAGCTGAGGTCTGCCCACGAGGTGTTGCTGAAGCTCTCCCTTCGCTGCTCCGTTGTTGCGTTGTCAGGGACGGGATGTCGCATGATGGGCACCACAATCACTGCGTGCAGGGATGCATGATGGATGGATGGAGTGGATGGAGGGATCAAGGCGCACAATTATGGGACACGGAGCTGGCACAGCTTCATAGAAACCCAGCGTGGGTGCAGCTTGCAGCAGATGAAGCAGGATGGAGAAGGATGGGCACCACAATTACTGCATGCATGCATGCACGCATGGATGGATGGATGCATGGATGGATGCATGGACGCATGGATGGATGGATGGATGGATGGATGGATGGATGGATGGATGGATGGATGGATGGATGGATGGATGGATGGATGGATGGATGGATGGATGGATGGATGGATGGATGGATGGATGGATGGATGGATGGATGGATGGATGGATGGGTGGATGGATGGATACAGCGAAAGCCCGATCTTCTGCTGCTGCTTTTCTAGTTAGTGTACTGTGAAAAATACTCAAAATGTAAGGGTAAGTAACGCACTTACACTTAGTAACGAACAAAATCACGATGGACTGAACTGATTACACCTTGAGAAAAAATCACCTTGTGATGCACCTAATAGTCTTAGCTCACCAGTGCCCACACGTAACTCGCTGTTGAAAAACACATCTTTTGAAGCGCCACAGTACAAATATAATTCATAAGGGGCATGAAAGAAGGCCTAGCTCACCAGTGCCGACATGTAACTCGCTGTTGAAAAACACAGGCGGTGAGGAGACGGCGTTGCCCTCGAGTACGGAGGAGAGGAGCGATTGGGGGACCATGGCGGAGAAATCGGTGAAGGCCTTGGGATCGTTGTTGGGGTATCCGCTGAGGAGATTGACGATATATCGCGGCTTGCGGGGAGAGGGCAGCCCGAGAGGTGACTTTATGACCATGCCTGTTATACGCTCCACCAATGCCCTAGGGGAGACAAAGGATGAGGGAGGACGTGGAGAAGAAGAGAGGACTACGGGGATGAAAGAGGTCGGGAGAAAGAAAGAAGGAAACTTCGTGGTGGAGAAATCGGTGAAGGCCTTGGGATCGTTGTTGGGGAAACAGGCGAGAAGGTTGACGGTGTATCACGGCTTGCGAGCGGAGGGCAGCCCGAGAGGAGGTTTGATTTGATGTCCATGCCTGTTATGCGCTCCACCAATGCCCTGGAGGAGACAAAGGATGAGGGAGTTGGGAGAGGATGCAGAAGAAAGAGCAACCGGGGCATGAGAGAGGGAGAACTTTGTGACGAGCCAGGTTGTGTGCCAAACATAAGGATAAGTAACGTCTTAGTGTGTTAGGCTGCGCATGCGCGAGCGCGCGCGCGCGCACTCTCTCTCGCCCACCTGTGCTATCGTCCACGAGCATGGAGCGTCCCCAGGGAATCCAAGCCCATTGCGGAGTGGCATCCCTGTAGCGCGCCAGTAGGTTAGGTTTTGCATGTGCACGCGCGCACTTGTAGCGCGACAGGCTGGCGTTGCTGCCGCACCCTGCCACGCCCACCCACCCGCCCCCCGCACACATACCTGTCGCTATCGTCCACGAGCATGGTGAGTGTCCCTAAGGTGAGGTAGTCCAAGCCCATGGCGATGGTGGCATCCTTATAGCGAGTCAGGCTCTCGTTATTGGCACACCCCGCCACGCCCCAGTAGGTGAGGTTGGTGGAGCTGCGCGGGCCGTAGCCGTTGAACACACGCAGCAGCGCTGACATCTCCTGCACGCATGCAGCACACACACATACAGGCATACACGAGGAGTTGAGAAAGGGCGGAAAACACCCCGCCACGCCCCAGTAGGTGAGGTTGGTGCTGCTGCGCGGGCCGTAGCCGTTCAAAACGCGCAGCAGCGCTGACATTTCCTGCACGCGCACATGCAAACACACGTACGTCCACACACACACACGCACACGCACACACACACACACACACACACAAACACACACACACACACACACACACACACACACACACACACACACACACACACACACACACACAAACACACACACACACACACACACACGCACACACACACGCACACACACTCACATACACATGCACAACGAGTTAAGCAAGGCCGTCTCTCCCTCACGGCGTTGATCTGTGCGACGTCTCTCCGTCACGCGTCGCTCTGTTCGGCGTCTATCCATCACGCGTCGCTCTGTGCGACGTCTCTCCGTCACGCGTCGCTCTGTGCGACGTCTCTCCGTCACGCGTCGCTCTGTGCGACGTCTCTCCGTCACGCGTAGCTCTGTGGGCCGTGGCTCTGTGGGCTGTCGTTATGCGTCGCTATCCGTCGCTACGGGTCGCTATGCGTCTCTTTCCGTCGCTATGGGTCGTTATGCGTCGCTATCCGTCGCCATGGGTCGCTATGCATCGCTATCCGTCGCAATGGTCGCTATGCGTCGCTATCCGTCGCGGTGGGTCGCTACGCGTCGCACCTGCACGCGCGAGACGGACGAGAGCAGCCGTTGGTAGAGGTAGCGCACACGCAAGTGGCACCACCCGCGCATCGCCTCCTCCCGCGGATTGGCGGCCTGCGTGTGCGCGAACCACACCACCCACGCGCACAGCCCCGCCCATCCCGCCACCCACACCGCCCCCAGAAGCGCCCTCTCCACGCCCCACCGCGCGCCCCGTGACGAGAGGCGCCACGGCCGGCGCATTAGACGTTTGCAGCTTCGATTCGGTGAAAAGTGTGAGCAGCGGAGCGAATAGAGTGTGAGTGAAGGAGGAGATCGGAGGCGAACAAAATGGTGGCGCTAATTTGTGTGAGTTGAGGATGGTGAATCAAGAATCAAAGTGGGTAAACGACTACACCGTTACAGAATGCACATCATTGTACCCAACCGCTTCAAATGAACCGAAAGTGAACCTCGCGACGCGAGTAATGCTGGTGTGACAATCGACGTGGGTTGACTTCGGTTCGCCTGGGTTCAGTTGATTTTGTTTTTGGCAAGAGCTAGCTGAGGTGTGAGGGAATTATCTGGGGCGGGAATTGCCTTGGGTTGGTCGATTGCTGCAGCATTGGGCCAGTGGGCCACGCGGACTGAACGACGTGGGAGGCATTGGTTCGTCTGGACCGCAAAATTATCTGGGAGAAGATCATATTGGGGCCGAACATTAGCAGAGAAGTGTCCAAATTAGGGCCGGATAGCCGAACCTGATTTTTTTCGAGCTAACAACGGAGTTCTCCATGCTCGCGTATGTGATTTCACTTGTCAGAGATTCTCACCGCACCGCGCGTCGTAACTGAAGGAGAGTAAATTTTACGACTTTTGTCGAAATAACTCAGTATTTTGCGCTACCGCGTACTAGTCGACGCAACAAGGAACCGTTAGGGCAGGGCAGAAAAACTAAAACCCCTAGGGAACCTGGATTCATCTTCAGGAGGGATCAACCCTAAACACGGGAACCTCCCCGGAGTTATTGTTGATGCCTCCCCGAGTCGCAACCATTTCCGATTGGGTTATTTTTTTTATCCAGGTAAAGTGATGTAAAATTTTCGGAAAACAATCATGTACTAATAATCTAAAAAATTACATACAAGGCGAAAGCACCCCCAGAGGAATTCGATGCGAGCTTCCGTAATAGGCGGCGATCTTAATATAAAACAAAGAAATGAACCAAAACAGTCAAGATTTAATAATTTCCTGAAATTTTCGGTTCGGAACCAAGGCCCAGCCACCTGGGCAGCTTCGGGGATATATCCAACGGTTGCGATTAACCCGGTCCTAATTTGGTCACTTTTCTGCTAATGTTCGGCCCCAATTTGATCTTTGCCCAAATTATCTCCCACATTGGGTGGATCGTCAGATTTTCGGTCCGATTTTCCGCGTCGTCGCCGATTTCGTTACGTGCAGTACACCCTCATTCTCAGTCTGTGCACAATCGCCACATGAACATGCCAGCTGTAATGACATCAATGCGTCCAACATGGTCCAAGAACATACGCTGTAAGCACATTTGCCGTACTTAACCGTACGAACAACTAACTGTAAGTTTACATACCGTTGTTTACCGTTCCCCGGGAGTGCGTTTGCCCGCCACCTACCTAGAGTTCGGCTCCAAGCACCAGATCGCTAGGGTCCAAGCAATCAGACGCACTGTAGCCAGTGCTCCCAATTGTGCGTAGACTGAGAATGAGGGTGTATACACAGTGCGCTTGTGGATGACATCATCACACTGTTGTTCGGAGGGCCCTTTTACGTGTACTTAGGGCGTGTTAAATCGCAAACTCCAAAAATTCGGCCACAATCCGTCGGGCCGTTTTTGCGAAGGTAACCAGTTCGCGACAATCGTAATTCTAGTGGCGACAGTCGCAAATTTCGTAAAAAAATAACGAATTTGATGGCCGTTTAAAAGGTCGACACGAAAACGACGCTGAGTCGACTCCAAAGCGGCCAAGTAGTCGACACAGTGTGCGACAAACGACTGCGACGTCGCATGGATTCGTCCAGCGACCAAATTTGTGATCGCGTCAAATATGAAGAATCGCCGTCAAAAGTGCGACCCCGTCGCACATACTAAACTACTGTAGTAACTGCAAATTTAACAACTTTTTTAAACCAGCCTGCAATTCGGCCACCAAAGTTGTTAAATTGCCAAAACTGTTAATTTTGGCTGTTCAAGAGTCGACTCTGATTCGGCCACCTCGTCGTTGTTCGCGAAAAATATGACGACCATTTGGTCGTCAAAAATTCGGCCACACCCCATTTTCGGAATTGTGTGGCGATTTAACACGCCCTTAGGGGATATGACGCGGAAAGACCTAGACACTATAACGGGTACGTCGTGGGGCTACACTGCAGCTACGCACATATGATGCAACCATACGTATTTGTAAACAGTCTCTGTTAAACACGCTAGCTAACTCCTATAATATCAAATAATTACACTAGCTAAAGCAGCCTTGCATCACACACACACGCACATGGATTCCTTAACTTCTGTTGTTTTGCATGTCCTTGGAAGATTCTAATGACGTTAGCCAGCTCCACGAGCCGTGCAAACTCGCAACACAGAGTTCCCTGAAATCAATTTCACAAAATGATTGACATGGAGGCACAAAGAGCCACACAGAGTATACAGTATGTTAAACAGGCTAGGCGAAAACGAGAAATAGGCAAAGAGGGATTTCACTAGCAAGCAGTTGAGTACATATAGGAAACCCTAATTCGGGTTGTACTCGCTATAGAGTACCCCACTGCAGGCTAGACAACCATCACATTCTGACACACCCCCATAGTCAAAGTGGGGTACAATCAATACAACAAGCAGGCAGAGCAGTAGTTCACAATTATAAGCAAAGCTAGCGGCTAGCACAGAGAGCAAGTGAGGAGGAGGAGAAACTGTGGGGGCGAGTGTGAGAGTCGAGAGAAAAGTTGCACTAGGAGAAGTTCGAGACGTACAAGAAACAACCCTATACCCTCTAGTATCTAACCCACTACAGCCTAGATATAAACAATATAACATATGTTTGACACACCCCCATAGGCAAAGTGGGGAAGACCTAGAGGCCACAAGACCAGTCAAGCAAGCAAGCTCAGAGTGGATCACAACGTCACCACAAATCTGAGTACAAGGTCAAGGCCACAAGGCCAGTTCACATGCATGATTATATATAAAGACAAACAAGCAAGAGCATGTATATAGAAAATGCAGTACAAGCAAGGTCAAGAAGTGAGCAAGTGAGGCCAAGTGGGCACAAGACCTAGCATCGTACAGAAGATATCAGCAGTGTTGGCCCGAGTGGCCACGTAAGCAAGGCGCAGCTGACCACGCTGCTGCAACTCACGTGCAAGAAAGTAGCGGAGAGCAATGTGCTTCGTTCTGTGCTCCAGTCTGTGCTCCCGACACAAGGCCAGCATTGCCTTGTTGTCTACGTACAGAACTGGAGGAGAACGAGGCGGCTCTCCCAGGTCAGTCAGCAGGTAGGTAAGCCAGCGTAACTCCTGTGCAGCCATGGCTCCTGCGTAGATCTCAGCCTCACAGCTAGAGCTGAGAACAGACGACGAGCGGGTAGACCGCCACGAAACAGAGCCGGAACCAAGGCTGAAAGTGTAACCCTGTGACGACCACTGAGTAGCCAGGTCGTCAACCCAAGAAGCGTCTGCGTGACCAGTGAGGACCACTGGACTCTGCCCTCCAAGCACTAGCCCCATGCCTGACGTACTGCACAAGTAGCGCAACACCCTCTTCGCTGCAGCCATGTGCTCTGGTCGGTGTCTCCCAGGAGCAACATAGCGTGCCAGGATGCTAAGAGGGTATGCAAGGTCAGGTCGTGTGCATGTCATCAGGTACATGAGGCAGCCAACAAGCTCTGGGTACGGGCCACTCGGCTCTACGGACTCATCCGAAGGCAGAGCTGAGAGCGAGTGACGAGTAGACAGAGGAGTGGCCTGAGGCGAGGAGTACGTGAAGTCGAAACGCTGAAGGACCTGCTGCACCATGTGTGACTGAGACAGTGTAATGGTGCGTCGTGCTCTGTCCCGGGTGATCTGCAAGCCAAGGTAGCTGCGCAGTTCACCCAGGTCTGTGCACGTGTGTCGCTTCTGCAGCTCGGACTTCACGTGGGCGAGTCCAGCAGTGTCAGCTGTAGCAAAGACCAAGTCGTCGACGTACACGAGGATGTAGAACGGCGGCAAAGAGGTGTCAGTGCGCAGAAATAGCGACGGGTCGGCAGTAGAAGGAGCAAACCCAAGAGCCGCAAGTGTAGTCCTCAGTGTGTCGTGCCACTCACGCGGCGCCTGGCGGAGACCGTAGACCGGCCGCCGGAGGCTCCACTGGGTGCCAGGAGGAAACGTCCCAGTGAAGCCAGGTGGGCGGCGCAACCAGATCTCCTCGTGCAGGCTGCCCTGTAGGAAAGCTGTGCTGAAGTCAAGAGAGTGAAGCTCGTAGTCACGGTGAGCAGCTATGTGCAGTAGCACCCGAAGAGTGGTCATCTTCGGGGTGGGAGAGAAGGTATGAAAGTAGTCAACTCCCTGCCGCTGACTGAAGCCGCGAGCCACGTAACGCGCCTTGAAGACAGGAGGAGAACCCGGTGGCCGCTTCACCCTGTAAATCCACATGCCACTGACGATGTTCGCCCCAGGAGGGGGAACCTCGTCAACATAGGTGCCTGTGGACTTCCAGGAAGCCATCTCTGCGTCCATGGCTGCCTGCCACTGAGAGGAGTAGGGACCCTCTATCGCCTCCGCGTAAGAGCGCGGAGTCGGGATGTCAAGTGCATCCGGGTCTCCCTCAGGGGCAAGCAGCATGGCCACGAGATGGGGTACAGCAGCAGCAAGACACTGGAACTCCTCCTGTCTGTCCTCAAGGACGTCCGTGCCAAGAGCACACTCACCCCCGATGGACGGAGGACAGACAGACTCAGACGCAGCAACAAGACTAGTGGCGTAGTCGAGACGACAGACAGCAGCAAAGTCAACAAGCTCAGCAACCAAGGCAGACGCAGCAGTGGACTCGAACGACGGGTCAGTGACAACAGTAGCTAACAGACGCGTGACAGTAGGGTGCTCAGCACGAAACCGGTCAGACGCTGGGTCGGGAACCGCAGGCAGTGAGGACGCAGGTGGGGAAGGCAGAGGAGCGGACGGCGGAGCAAAGGAGGGACGACGGACAACAAGGTGCGCGCTAGGTACAGGCGGCTGACGCGTACAAGAAACACAACGACCGGTACGACTGGGACGACCAGACCGAACGGGCGAGACAGGACGCGACGCAGGCGCACGACGCTCAGCAAGACCACCAGCCTGCTCAGTGTAAGGGGAAGGAGCAGGGAGTGGTGAGCCAGCAGGTAACGGAAGACCCGTGGACGACGGGAGAGTAAGAACCTGACGGAGAACAGAGTCAGGCGGCGGTAGAGACGACGGAGACGGTGGAGCGAAGAACAGGCGAGGCGGCGCGGCTGCGTCAGCACCGGTCGCTCCAGCACCTCCAGCAGCTCCAGCACCTCCAGCAGCTCCAGCAGCACCAGCGTCTCCAGCAGCGCCAGCACCTCTAGCAGCTCCAGCGTCTCCAGCAGCTCCAGCACCTCCAGTAGCTCCAGCACCTCCAGCAGCTCCAGTGTCTCTACGAGCTCCAGTACCTCCAGCAGCTCCAGTGTCTCCAGCAGCTCCAGCACCTCCAGAAGCTCCAGTGTCCCCAGGAGGAGCACCCCCAGAACCGGCACCTCCAGACGCAGGGTCGCCAACCGCAGAACCGCCCGCACTAGCACCCCCAGAGCCGGCACCTCCCGCCCCAGGGTCTCCAGCCCCGGTGTCCCAAGCAGGGGCACCCCCAGACGTAGTAGTCCCAGCAGCTCCAGTACCCTCAGTACGAGCACCTCCGGAACCAGAGCCTCCAGCAGCAGAGCCCCGAGCTCCAGCAGCTCGACCCGGACGGCGACCGTACCAGTCGTGCAGCTGCTGTGGAGTGAGAGGCACACGCGAACGAAGGCGGCCACGCCAAGGGGACCGCACAGCAGCAGTCTCAGAACCCTCAAGTGGCTCCCCGCGAGACTCAGTACCCCCAGACTCCGCAGATACAGGCTCAGCACCCCCAGACGCAGCACCCCCAGACTCAGCACCCCCAGGCGCAAGGCCTCCAGTCTCCTCACACGCAGGCTCAGCACCCCCAGACTCAGCACCCCCAGACCCAGCGCCCCCAGGAGCACCGCCCACAACAGCTCCAGAGTCAACAGGAACCGGCGACGGAGGCGGTGAAGAAGGTCGCGGAGGGAACCCCGGAGGGGTCTCCAAGCGGGGAGCGCGGCGGGAGGCCGTCGGGGCGCCAGCAGCAGCGTCACCCCCCTCGGGTGGGCCAGAGGTGTCGGAAGTGACCTCCAAAGGCTCAGCCAAGGGGGGGGGGTCTACCTGAGACACACCTGAAGGAGCAGGGCCTTGAGGGGGGAGGGGGTCGACCTGGGGGGGACCTGGCACGAGGAAAAGTGGTGGGGGTGGCAGGGGGGCAGCGCGGTAGGGGAAGAGACGGTAGTACGGAACCGACTCGTCAAACGTGACGTCCTGGGAGGACAGAACACGGCGCGAGGTGGGGTGGTAGAACTGCCAGCCAGGCGCGTCAGGGGGGAAGCCAAGGAAGACGCAGGGAACAGCACGGGAGGACATCTTGTCCGCAGACAAGTCTCGGACAAAAGCCCGAGATCCCCAGACACGGAACGCAGACGCATCGCCAACCTTCCCCGTCCACAGCAGAGTGGGGGAGGTCCCCGGCATGGAGACCCGGGGCTGAAGGTTGATCTGACGCGCCGCGTACTGAACCGCAAATGGCCACAGAAAATGGGGAGCAGCCGCATGGATCATGGACGTGCGAGCGACATCCATGACCATGCCAATGCGGCGCTCAGCAATCCCATTTTGCTGCGGAGAGGCCGGAAGCGTGAACGTCTGGCGGATGCCCCTCGCACGACAGTAGGCTCGCAGAGGGCCTGAGGAAAACTCCCCACCTCTGTCGGAGTGCAGACGCAAAACAGGAAAGTCAGAGCGGAAACTCTGCCTGAGCTGGAGACGAGCAGCGCGGATCCAGTCGATCAACACCTCAGTGACCTCATCCTTGCGGCGCAAGGGGAAGACTGTGGTGTAACGCGAGTAATCGTCAACCACCAGCAGGAAGTAGCGCTCGTGACCCTGTCCACGGACGTGGGCTGGGCCCCACACGTCCATGTGAAGAGTCTGCAGCGGAGCCTCTGTCGGCGGAAACTCGGAGGAGTGAGGAGTGGCGCGCTGCCGCCCCTCGACGCAGGGAACGCAGGTAGGGGCAGGCCCCGGAGGGAGGGGAGGGAGAGACCGGGGGAGACCAGAGACAAGTGTCAAAAGAACTAGGCAAGAATGATGCATTGAATGAAACAGTTGGGTACAAGTAGCAAACCCTAGTTGGGGTTGTACCCCATATTGGCTACCCCACTACAGCCTACAAGCATAATGCAGTTTAACACACCCCCATAGGCAAAGTGGGGGAGAACAAAGGGTCACAAGACCAGTCCAGCAAAGCAAAGCAAAGCCCAGGGTGGATCACAACGTCACCACACTCCGAGCACAAGTAAAGGCCACAAGGCCAGTTCACATGCAGTGCTAGATATAGTACAAGACAAGCAACACAGTGATCAAAACCTAGCAAGCAAGCAACAAGATATATATAAAGTACAGTACAAAGAATGTCAAGCAGTGAGCAAGTGAGGAAACGTGGACACAAGGCCTAAAGAAGTACAGTGCCGCTGATGATCACTAGGCGGGAGCGCCTTGGTGAAGATATCAGCAGTGTTGGCCTTCGAGTCCACGTACACAAGCCGAAGCTGACCGCGCTGCTGAAGCTCTCGAGCAAGAAAGTAGCGAAGAGCAATGTGCTTCGTCCTGTGCTCCAGTCTGTGCTCCTGACACAAGGCAAGAGCCGCCTTGTTGTCACCGTACAGAACTGGAGGAGAACTAGGCCGCTCTCCCAAGTCAGTCAGCAGGTAGGTGAGCCAGCGTAACTCATGTGCAGCCATGGCTGTGGCGTAGATCTCAGCCTCACAACTAGAGCCGAGAACAGAGGAAGAGCGGGTGGACCGCCACGAGACAGAACCTGAGCCAAGGCTGAAGGTGTAACCCTGTGACGACCGCTGCGTAGCCAGGTCGTCCACCCAAGAGGCGTCCGAGTGACCAGTGAGGACAACTCTGTCGCGTCCTCCAAGCACCAGCCCCATGCCTGATGTACTGCACAGGTAACGCAGCACCCTCTTAGCAGCCTCCCAGTGCTCTCGCCTGTGTCTCCCAGGCGCAACGTAACGAGCAAGGATGCTAAGAGGGTACGCGAGGTCAGGTCGCGTGCAAGTCATCAGGTACATGAGGCAGCCTACAAGCTCTGGGTACGGGCCACTCGGCTCTACGGACTCGTCCGAAGGTGGAGCTGAGAGCGAGTGGCTGGTAGCCAGAGGTGTGGCCTGTGGTGAGGAGAACTGGAAGCCGAAGCGCTGAAGGACCTGCTGCACCATGTGTGACTGAGTCAGGGTGATGGTGCGGCGAGCTCTGTCCCGGGTGATCTGCAAGCCAAGGTAGCTACGCAGTTCACCCAGGTCAGTGCAGGTGTGTCTCTTCTGCAGCTCCGACTTCACACGAGCGAGTGCCTCAGTGTCAGCAGTAGCAAAGACCAAGTCGTCGACGTACACGAGGATGTAGAACGGCGGCAGCGACGTGTCTGTGCGCAGAAACAGCGACGGGTCAGCAGTAGACGGCGCGAACCCAAGAGCCGCAAGAGTAGTCCTCAGTGTGTCGTGCCACTCACGTGGCGCCTGGCGGAGACCGTAGACTGGCCGGCGGAGACTCCACTGGGTACCAGGGGGAAACGACCCAGTAAAGCCAGGTGGGCGGCGCAGCCAGATCTCCTCGTGCAGGCTGCCCTGCAGGAACGCTGTGCTGAAGTCAAGAGAGTGAAGCTCGTAGTCACGCTGAGCAGCAACGTGCAGCAGAACCCGAAGAGTGGTCATCTTCGGGGTGGGGGAGAAGGTCTGGAAGAAGTCGACCCCCTGACGCTGACTGAAGCCTCTAGCAACGTAACGAGCCTTGAAGACAGGCGGAGAACCTGGCGGCCGCTTCACCCTGAAAATCCACATACCATCGACGATGTTCGCCCCAGGAGGGGGAACCTCGTCGACGTAGGTGCCTGTGGACTTCCAGGATGCCATCTCTGCGTCCATGGCTGTCTGCCACTGAGAGGAGTAGGGACCCGAGATCGCCTCTGCGTAAGTGCGCGGAGTGGGGATGTCTACTGCATCCGGGTCTCCCTCAGGGGCAAGCAACCAGGCCACGAGATGAGGTACAGCAGCCGCAAGTGAGTCAAAGTCCTCCTGCCTGTCCTCAAGGACGTCCGTGCCAAGAGCACACTCACCCCCGACGGACGGAGGACAGACAGACGCAGACTCTGACTCAGCGACAAGGCTAGCAGCGTAGTCTAGACGACAGGCAGCAGCAAAGTCAACCAACTCAGCGACCAGAGCAGACGCAGCCGAGGACTCAAAGGTGGGGTCAGTGACAACAGTAGCAAGGAGACGCGTGACTGTAGGGTGCTCAGCGCGATACCGGTCAGACTCAGGGTCCGGAACGGCAGGCAAAGAGGACGCAGGAGGAGACGGTAGAGGGACACGCCGAGGAGCAGTAGAGGGACGCAGAGTCATGTAGTGAGTGCCTGGGACAGGAGGAGGACGCTCACGACGGACACGACTACCAGTGCGAGCAGGACGAACAGGCGACGCAGGACGAGACTCAGGCTCACGACGCTCTGTAAGACCTCCTGTGGGACCAGTGTAAGGAGAGGGAGCAGGGAGAGGCGAGGTAGGCGGTAACTGTGACTGCGGCTGGACAGGCGGAGGACACTCTACGGAGGGAGGAGGACAAGGAGGAGGAGCCTGCCCAAGAACCTGCTGAAGGAGCGGTACGAAGTACGGTCGCGGCCGCGCAGCGTCTCCAGAAGCAGAAGGGACTCCAGCGGCCGGGTCCTCAGCACCAGTAGGAGCTCCAGCGTCCGGGTCCACAGCACCAGCAGCAGCTCCACCGGCCGGGTCCCCAGCTCCAGCAGCAGCTCCACCAGGTGGGTCCGCAGCACCAGCAGCAGCGCCACCCCCAGAGTCGGGAGCTCCAACTCCGCTAGCACCGCCAGCGCCAGAGTCCCCAGCTCCAGCAGCTCCAGTCGCAGTGCTCCCAGAACAGCCAGTCCCGGCAGCTCCAGTACCCCCAGTACGAGCACCCCCAGGACGAGCAACTCCAGCACCCCCAACTCCAGCCGAGCCACTAGGACGGCGAAAGCGTCGGACGTACCAGTCACGAAGCTGCTGCGGTGTGAGAGACTGCTCAGCACCCCGAACCGGAGCACCCCCAGACACAGTAACCCGAGGCTCCGTAGGCTCAGTAGCAGCACCCCCAGGCTCAGTACCCGCAGGCTCAGTACCCGCAGGCTCAGCACCCCCAGTCGCAGCACCCCCAGGCTCAGCACCCCCAGGCGGCAAACTCTCAGGCACAGTACCCTCAGCTCCAGCACCCGCAGTCCCAGCACTCCCAGGCCTCGCACCCGCAGGCTCAGTACCCCCAGGCGCAGCACCCCCAGGCTCCGTACTCTCAGGCACCGTACCCTCAGCTCCAGCACCCTCAGTCCCAGCACCTGCAGCCCCAGCTCCCCCAGGCCCAGCACCCCCAGGCTCAGCACCCCCAGGCTCAGCACTCCCAGCAGCACCACCCGCAGCAGCACCTGAGTCACCTGTGACCTCGACAGGCTCAGCGACGGGAGGAGGGTCTACCTGAGAGACACCTGAGGGAGCAGGACCCTGAGGGGGAAGGGGGTCTACCGGAGGGGGACCAGGAGCAAGGAAAAGCGGCGGGGGAGGGAGGGGGGCAGTGCGGTAGGGGAAGAGACGGTAAAAAGGGACCGACTCGTCAAAGGTGACATCCTGAGAGGCGAAGACCCGGCGCGAGGTGGGGTGGTAAAACTGCCAGCCAGGCGCGTCAGGGACAAAGCCAAGGAAGACACAGGGAAGCGTGCGGGAGGAGAGCTTGTCCGCAGACGTATCGCGGACAAGGGCACGAGCACCCCACACCCGGAAGCGCGACGCATCGCCAACCTCCCCCGTCCAACGCAGTGTGGGCGAGGTCTCCGGCAAGGAGACACGGGGCCAGAGGTTGAGCTGATGCGCGGCGTACCGGACAGCAAACGGCCACAGAAAATGGGGAGCCGCCGCGTGGACCAAGGAGGTACGAGCGACCTCCATGACCAGGCCAATGCGACGCTCAGCAACCCCATTCTGCTGTGGGGAGTCCGGAAGCGTGAAGGTCTGCTCGATGCCCTCCGCCTGACAGAAGGTCCTCAAGAGATCGGAGGAAAACTCACCACCTCTGTCAGAGTGCAGACGCAGGACAGGAAGATCCGTCCGGAAACGGCGGCGGAGCTGGAGACGAACCGTGCGGATCCAAGGGATCAGAACAGCAGGGACCTCACCCTTGGTGCGCAAGGGGAAGACCGTGGTGTAACGCGAGTAGTCGTCGACAACCAGCAAAAAGTACCGCTCACCGCCCTGACCACGAACGCGGGCTGGGCCCCACACGTCCAGGTGGAGGGTCTCCAGAGGAGCCTCTGTCGGGGGGAACGAGGAGGAGTGAGGAGCGGCGCGCTGCCGCCCCTCGACGCAAGGAAGGCAAGGCGGCGCAGGCGAGGCAGGGAGGGGAGGGAGGGACCTGGGAAGACCGGACACAAGGAGGCGACGGTGCATGCCACGAAGGCGTGGCAAGGAGGGGTGACCCAGGCGGTGGTGCCAGAGAAGAGTCTGGTGCGACAGGGAGCGACACTCACAGGCGTGGGCCACCAGACCTGACGCAGACACCTGACCGACAGCAGCTACCTGGGGAGACGCAGTGGTCAGTGTGTAGAGACTCGACCCCGGCCGACGGGTGAACGTAGCCAGGTGACGGCCGGTCCTGGAGCACGTGCAGATCGCCACACGCTGTCCGCCAGGGGTAAAGGTGTCAACCCACTGATCCTGGAGGACAGCGTTGCTCACCAGGTTCGTCGAGAACGAGGGGAGGTGGAAACCCGACAACGAGCCAGACGGAACCGCCGGACAAGGGAGGACAGTGGTGGACTGGGCAAGGACTGGGCCCCCAGAGGGGTCAGCCAAGGAGACTGGGACCGGTGCAGGAAGCGG